TGGGCCATGAAAAAATTAAGAAGTAGAACTCATCACTACAGTCAAAACATAAGTGGCTATGCTCCAAAAATCGAAGCACCGCAATCATTGCATCCTCAGCTATCAACACAGTCCCATGCTTGAGATGATTGATCTTGATGGCTGCGACAACAACATGACTAATATTATATTAGCAACTATTAGAGATGCTGATGAGCAGTGTAATGATTTTAGAAAAGCAGGAAGATCTAGAGAACTGTGGGCAAATATTTGACATGCTGAGAAGTGCAAAGCCATGCAAAGAGATAGAGCGTTATTGAGATGTCTCAATTGTCATAAATAGCCTAAATAGGACCTTCTTGAATGGTCATTGGTGTCATCCATATATAAAGACTAAAAAGACAGCTACAACTTCACCGTTCGAAAGGCAGCCGCAAAATCACAGCTCAAACCGTTGCCAAACGCAGCTCAAAACCGCTGCTAGACGCAGTTCAAGACTGCTGCCAGACGCAGCTCAAAACTGCTACCAAACGTAGCTCAAAACCGCTGTCAAACGCAGCTTAAAACCGCTACCAAATGCATCTCTAACCGCTGCCAGACGCAGCTCAAAACCGCTGCCAGACGCAGCTCAAAACCGCTGCCAGACGCAGCTCAAAACTGCTGCCAAACGCAGCTCAAAACCGCTGCCAAACGCAGCTCTAATCGTCGCCAGACGCAGTGCCACAACGCTGCGAAACGCACTTTCAAATATCGAAGAACGCAGCTTCACATCGCTGCACAACGCAGCTTCAAATCGCTGCAGAACGCACTTCCAGATGCTGCGTTCAAGCGCAGAATCTATGCCAGAACGCAAGTCAAGGTTCTGACCTATTCAAACACGATTCATGCAGTTTCAAAAAAAACTGCTCTTCACCCACGATTTGAGGAGTAGTTTACGTGGGTTGTTACAACCGATTAATGAGGCAACTAAACCCTCATTTAGGACGGATTATGGGGGCGGTTACACCCCTAATCTCCCTATAAATATCAACAAACTCAACAGAGTTCAGGGTTCGGAAATTAGTGATCCAAGAATCGGATTCAGAGAGTGAGAGTTGGAGGATCAGCTTTTTACACAGTCTGGGGAATCATCTTCAACTGAAGAGTCCAGACATTCGATACTTGGCTTATTAACCGAATTATTTTCGGTTCAAATAACTCTTTTCATCTTAGAGTTTGTTACTCGTTCTGAGCCACAACACTCGTCAAGAGTTACCAATCAGACAAATCAGTTGTTCCAGTGAATTGAAATTTTCGGATCGTCAACGGAGAGCTAACTCGACGCGAGCATTCGAGGGAAGCATTCCATCGCCACCGTGAAGAACCCAGAATTAAACAAAGGGGAGAATCTAGATCATTCTCTTCTCTTTTGTAAACAGGAAATCCAATTGTAATCGAGAGTTGAGAGATTTGTAAACATTCTTTTTTCTAAGCTCTTTTGTAAACAGGAAATCCAATTGTAATCGAGAGTTGAGAGATTTGTAAACATTCTTTTTTCTAAGTAGTTAGAGAGAATAAATCAAATACAGTTCTTTTATTCATTTTCTTATTACAAAATTTTCCACAAACACAAGCTGAAGATGCTGCTGCAGTAGATGAATGTAAAGGTAAGAAAGTTCAGGTGACCGAAAATAAGGGACATGCGGGAAGGGGGAAAGAAAAAAGGATGGTGAAGCCTGCAACGTCTCTTCGGTCACTATGGGTGCAGAGGGTATCTCAGATTACTGCTAGGCAAAGTCAGCTGGAAAGCATCATATGGAATTGGGTGCATAGAGAAGAAGCAAGGCATTCAGGAGATGATTCTGCTGAAGAAGAGAATTTGTGAGTTCTTAAATCTTATTTGATATTTTATTTTTAGCTGTGAGACTCACTGTTTTTAATATTTTGTCCCTTTATTAAATTGAATATTGTTACTGTTTTTTCAGTGAAATGGTTTTTAAGTGGAGACAAATTGAATGTTTCTTACCTGCTTTCAAGACTTTCCTTCTTGCTGATTACATTGAGGCAAATGTAATCAGCATTTGGTCCTATATTTTGAACAGCAGAGAAAAAATGAAGTCCGAAAATTCTCCACTTAGATTCTTCTGCAATGTTGAGACAACCGTACGTATCTTCCTTTATTTAATTTAAAATAACACTTTGAGTTACAGTTTAATGAGATTGATATGGTAAAGATTCGAAGACAATGTTTTTGTTCTTTAACCGAATTTTAACTATATCTGTAAAATCTCTGATTAAATTTCACAACCATTAGGTCTTCTTCCCCATAATAACTCTAGTGAATCTCGATCACTAGAGTTAGTGAATCTGGATTCACATCTTACTATGAATCTCGATTCACTAGAGCTAGTGAATCTGTGTTCACATCACGTAATCACGATCCACTAGCTATAACTAGTGATCTGAAATCTCGATCAATAGAGTTAGTGAACCTGGATTCACATCTTACTATGAATCTCGATTCAATAGGGCTAGTGAATCTGTGTTAACATCACGTAATCACGATCCACTAGCTATAGCTAATTCTAATGAATCCAGATTCACTAGTATGAATCCAGATTTATTAGAGTGAGTCCAGGTGAACTAACTCTATTAAATCCTAGCGAGCTAGATACAATGAATCGTGATTCACTGTCATTAATATTGTTTTCATATAAACAACCAAAACAATTTGTATATTACATTAAACATTACTGTATAATAATTTGGATTTGTTATGTGACACTGATTACTTTTGATTAAACAGCACCAGAATTTTGTGAGATATTTAGCACACAAAAAACATCACAAGGCGAGTGAAATAAATACATTAACGCCTGACAGACTTGAGATAGAGTGGAGAACAGCCAAAAACAAATTTGATTGTGGTATTTTTGTCATTAGACATATGGAGACCTACATGGGCGGTGGTACAGCAAATTGGAACTCTGGTTTTCATAGAGAGGGTGTAAGTGTTTAGAATATAGCTACTGAATCTAATAAGATTTACAGTTAGTCTTTTTGAATTAATAAAATTTAGAATATAGGTACTGAATCTTGAACTGAACTTTTGTTCATATCGACAGGAGCGATTAAAAAATCAGCTACATAGACTGAGGTCTATATACTGTTACCAAATTCTTACTGAACCAACAAATGAATTGGCCAAATAAGTCATCAGCAAAGCCCAACAACACCATGCTGAAACTGCCAATGTTAAAAAAGAGACGAGGAAGACCACAAGATCTCAAAGAAAATGATATTCTGTAATCACCATAATTTTCAATGTTGAAGTTTACTGTTATTGAGTACATTGTCACTTAATGTTATAGAATACTCCAGTTTGTGTTGAACTGCTTTTCTATGTAAATATACTTTATAAGAATAGCTTTGTCATAATTTTATATCTAGATTTGTGAATAGTTTGGATATATGAAAATACTGTGAAGTTATTGAATGCAATTGGAAGAATTTCGATTTAAGTAGAGAATGTGATTTATAATTCAAGGTTTTATGTTTCAATCAAATAAATTAATCATACTTATTGTGGATTGTATGTATTTAATATGGAATCACTGTTTCAATATTGTCTTAAGTTATTACTAATTTATTTGATTGAAACTAGATTCACTATAGTGAATCTAGATTCAATGCAGTGAATCTCGATTCACTACACTGAAAAATTCAGTAAGTCAATATTATCTTAAGTTTTTAGTAATTTATTTGATATCTAGATTCAATATAGTTAGTCCAGAATCGCTTAACGCGAATTAAATTCAAACTGATGACTGCATACAACGACTTTATCATACCTGCTTAAATAATACAACTAATAATAATGGAATTCACATGCTATATGAGTAGATCTCAATTTAATATACTAACATGACACAACGTAACCATGTAATTAATAATCTAGTAAATATATGTAGTTAAGAATTACACAATTCAGCAATTTTAATAAGAAATATATTTCTAAACATGATTTTGAAACGAAATATGACAACTAAATTAAACATCACTCTGCTGTATTGTTTTCTTTAATGGGCATGTCCGTGCGTCATGAAAATCGATTTTTTTGCACATATTACACAGCCTTGGCACCTTCTTCTTTCGTTGACTAATTGATTTCTCATAATCACCAACAATTCTCCGTCCACACCCATTATTTCTACCTTCAATGGGAGGTTTAACGATCACTTCCGCTGTTATTTTTGAGCCAACAAAAAACTCCATTACATCATTTTTGTTCTGTGTGTCAGATTTCCAACTAGATTCACGCAAACTGTGCTTCAACTCCTTCAACTTCCCTTCCACGTAGTCAAGTCTCTCACCATCTAAACCTGCCAAACTCACACAGGATTGGAAATCATACCATATGTCATTCAACTTGCGATTTGTAACTTCAATTGCTTTGCACTGTTCTGATATTTCCTTGAACTGCAATGAATGCCTCATCTCAGCACCTTTTGTCCATCGGTTCACAACAAAATGTCTTGGTATTTTTGTTACATCAGCTTGGTTCAGTGCAAAAAAACCATGTCTACATACTATACCCATTTTCTCAAACAGCCTACACGTACATTACACGTCATTGTTCAAATAAGCGTGTTTCATCTAAAATTCAAAAAACAATGTATATTAGCACCGAATAAAAAAAGAAAATAACAAGCGAATGAAATGGTCACTGAATCTCGATTCAGTGGTGTGAATTGAGATTCACTTCGTTGAATCGCGATTCACTACATTGAATCTGGATTCAATTTTTATTGTTTCAATCTCCATTATTAAGTTTTACCTCAAATATTTTTCCATGTCTCTTTTTGTCCTTTAAGGAAAAAATCTTCACAACATCTTCTTCTGATATACTGTCGATGCTCATATCATAACAGGATGACATTATCTCTTTCTGTACCTCATAAAACATTGTTCGAGTGTACAACTCTGCTGCATCCCTCTCCAATAACAATGGCGTGTCCATTCTTGGCATCGACTTTGTTCCTTCATAGTTTAATCTTGCATTTGTATGCCTTTGCTTCTCCATAACACTCTTTAAGTTTTACCTCAAATATTTTTCCATGTCTCTTTTTGTCCTTTAAGGAAAAAATCTTCACAACATCTTCTTCTGATATACTGTCGATGCTCATATCATAACAGGATGACATTATCTCTTTCTGTACCTCATAAAACATTGTTCGAGTGTACAACTCTGCTGCATCCCTCTCCAATAACAATGGCGTGTCCATTCTTGGCATCGACTTTGTTCCTTCATAGTTTAATCTTGCGTTTGTATGCCTTTGCTTCTCCATAGCACTCTCGTATCGGAGATAAAATTCCGTTAATGTGTCAGATCTACGGTTGAATTTGTCAAAGAAACTGTTCTCACTCTCTGATATTGATGTAGTCCGCAATAAACCGGCCATTGGATCATCAGCATAATAGGCTGGAATCCATGACTCCCGAATGTTATACAGTTCACACAACCATTCATTACTTTCAAGCTTATATTCTTTCATAACATCTTTCCAACCGACTTCAAATGTTGCTGGATCTATATCTATACTCCAAATCAGTGCATTTATTTTCCTCTTGAAATCATCCATCTTCGAAATGCATTTTGCCAACTACAATATAAATATATAACGAAAGATTCAGTATTTGTCTAATGAGGATTCATTATATTTATATGTGGGATTCATTACCTTTTGGTTAAATTTCTTCATGATGTGCCACATGCACAAACGGTGACGTGCTTCTGTAAAGACGGTTGGTATAGCTTGCTTCATGGCAGGGCACTGATCTGTAACAATACACTTTGGCTCGCGAATCATGCATTTCATGAATACCTCAAAAATCCAGACATAGTTATCAATGTCCTCTTTAGCTATCAATCCTGCTGCAAATACAACACACTTCTTATAATTGTCGAGACCAGTAAATGGAACAAACTTCATGTTGTACATATTGTATCATATACAAAAAATATAAGATTCACTATGACATATAATTACAATATTGAAAATCGTAAGAGATTAGCTATAAAATCTTACTTGTTTGTGGAATATGTAGAGTCAAATGATATCACATCTCCAAATACATCGTAATTTCTTCGCCCAATAACATCTGCCCAAAAAATGCGAGTTAATCGACCGCCTTCATCAACTGCATAATCATAGAAAAATCCATCACTCATCTCCTTCTTATCCGTGAACTTCTCGATGATCATTTGAGCATCTCGATCACCAATATAAAGCTTCACATCCCTACTCCAATTTTTAAACTCGGTACAGGTAGCACCAACATTAGAATAACTTCCACACAACTCCTTAGCAAAGTTATATGTTTTGTTAGGCCCCATGTTGGCTTTTGCTCCATCAAATACAAGTTTCTTATGTGCGAGACCGAGAACTCTATTTGACTTCAAAAATTGTTTCCCACTACCGGAGACCAAAAAATGAGAATGCTCTTCAACAAATGAGAGAACATTATATCCTTTCAAACCATCAAACTTAAAAACAACTTTAGCTTTGCAACCACATCTACTAGATACAGTTCTCCTTCTCTTTTTCGAACTGCTACTAAAATCATCAAAATCAACATCCATCTTTGATTCATTGCTGCCAGCTCTACTGCAAACAATGTGTTTAAGAAGAACTGTACCGTCCTCATGTTTCTTCTCCGTATGCCGTCTGATCTCAAACCCACTTTTACATCCATAATCTCGGTAAAACTCTATACCATCCTCTAGTGATCGGAAGCTTTGGTTTAGATAAGGTTTAAATTCAGCTCCAACCCGAGGTTTCCAATACATACCACCACCTGGTGATTCAAAAGGAATAGAGCTAACTTCGTCCATTCCATCTTCTCCAAAATCACTGTCCGATGCATTTATAACATGTGGTTCCTTAATTTGTTCATTGCTGCCAACAACTGAAAATAAAACAACATAAATAATATGGCTATATTTTGATATAATGAATCTGGATTCATGGCAATGTGAATCTCGATTCACTGCATTGAATCCAGATTCACTACACTAAACATGTGAATTCAGTTGAACACGTTCTAGTTGTTAGAGTATGCAGTGATTTTCATAATGTATTCACATGTTTACTATAGTGAATCTGGATTCAATGCATTGAATCCAGATTCACTACAGTAAACATGTGAATACATTATGAAAATCACTGCATACTCTAACAACTAGAACGTGTTCAACTGAATTCAAGCTCTCCAACTAAATTTACATAAAATGTTTACGAATGTAAACTCCTAGATAATAAGTCATATGACTAAGTTTTGATATACTGAATCTGGATCCATTACAATGAATCTGGATCCATTACAATGAATCTAGATTCACTGGAGTGAATCTAGATTCACTGGAGTGAATCTTGATTCACTGGAGTGAATCTTGATTCACTGCATTGAATTCATGTTATTGCTAATTAATCTGGAGTGAATCTCGATTCACTGCATTGAATCCAAATTCACTACAGTAAACAAGTGAATAAATTATGAAAATCACTGCAGTCTCTAACAATGAATCTCGATTCAATGCAGTGAATCTAGATTAACAACTAGAACGTGTTCAATTGAATTCAAGCTCTCCATTTAAATCTCCAAAAAATATTTAAGAATGTAAGCTCCTATATAATAAGTCATATGACTAAGTATTGAAATACTGAATCTGGATCAATTACAATGAAAACATGCATGAACCTGCTCACCTGAATTCAAGCTCTCCATTTAAATCTCCATAAAATGTTTAAGAATGGCCAGATAATGGACGATGAACGAGAGAGCACAAATACGATGAAGGACAGATGAACGAGAGAGATGAAGGACAGATGAATGAGAAAGCTGAAGGACGATGAAGCTGGTTGTGGAGAAAGAGCTGAAGGACGATGAACGAGAGATGCTGGTTGTGGAGTGAGAGGACTGCTGTTCGTGACGGTTGGGTTGCCTGAGCCGTGAGATTGCATGGGGAAATGGAGTACTCAACAGACAAGCATTAATTACCTCTCTTTAGGGGCTGTTTATTTTACCTGATTACCCTTATGCAGATTTAATCTCAGCCATTGGATGAATCTAGATCCAATAGAGAGGATTGGTTTTTAGTTTTTAGGATAGTAAGGTTTTTATTTGAACCTCTCCCTATATATATATATATATATATATATATATATATTATGCAGATTTAATCTCAGCCATTGGATGAATCTAGATCCAATAGAGAGGATTGGTTTTTAGTTTTTAGGATAGTAAGGTTTTTATTTGAACCTCTCCCTATACGGCTGTTTATTTTACCTGATTACCCTTATGCAGATTTAATCTCAGCCATTGGATGAATCTAGATCCAATAGAGAGGATTGGTTTTTAGTTTTTAGGATAGTAAGGTTTTTATTTGAACCTCTCCCTATATATATATATATATATATATATATATATA